ATCAACACTAAGAAAATGGGCTCTTTGTTTGCTTTCTGGTTTAACCAGTTGTTTAACTTCTCCTAAGGTTTTTCTGACCGTGCAGAAAAGAGAGATTAAAAGTTTCTGTAAAAAGTCAAACGTTTTCAGATTATTTTTGAACTAGAAATATTACATCTCTGTGTTGTGTGGTTATGTTTTTATGTAGTTGCAACTAAATTGCATGTTGATGATGTGGATCAAACTGGTGTTTAAGCTATGATGTTTAACTGAACAAGCTCCATCCCACAATGTAAAGCTACAGATCTTAGCAACCTAACTGAGGCTCCCCAAGAAGAAAAATCCTGTATGTTCGTTTATTTACATCTTAATGTCATAACTGGAAACAAAAACACTGTACACAAGTGAAATTACAAAAACCATTTACCATAATTAATTAGCTGGACAAAAGTAAATATGTGGAACATGAGACAATAAATTGTTACATATACATACACATGTATAATTTTTCAGGGAACACTGTAGAAAAACTATGAACACAAAAATAACACTTTGTGACTAAAAGTGTTGCAATAATAGAATCTGCAGTCACAACAACCTAAAAAGACCAAACAGCAAAAAACACTGACAAAGGAAACACATTTTTTATCAGTGAAAAAATATGTCTCTACTTCACCTCGTTATATGATATGGTACAAAGAAGAAAGGCTTAAACTTCAGTGAGTTCCATTCACAACACAACACAGAGTACTGAATGAAAAGAACAATCAACATTTGTGTTACAGGTTGGTGGCTGGTGACACCTTGTTATCCAGCATATTTGTTTCAGGCTGGTTCCACTTGTCAGAGAACAACAAATAGTGATAGAAGGCCTCATCCTGCTCTGTCACATTCCTGATTATTATGGAGCAGTTCTGTACAGTAGGTTTAAACTTGAGCAAAGCCACGATTCACTCTCTGACCAAAGTACTTGTTGTAGGTGGCAACATTTGTCTCCCCATCATGGTAGATGTCCTTCAAGTGATGTCATGTGATCTAAAGAATGTCCTTCAAAGCCTAGGATTTCTGTTCAAGTTCAAGTCCAACACAAAGGACAGACCTGTAAAAAAAATCTGTCCTTTGGGGAAAACAGCCAGCTCAGTCCCTCCCCTCCCCTCAGTGGCCAGAACATACAGACAGAGATCTGATGACAAAATCAATCCTCAGTCTATGGCCGGAGGCTTCCTGGTTCCACATGCACTTAAGGACATTTTGTTTGCAAGCGGTATTTGTTATGGACAAATTGTCATTTAAATCAGATCAGATCAGGCATGCCGTTCCTCCCAGTCACACCCTTCCAGGTCTCACGGTCATTGCCCACATGAGTGCTGAAGTCTTCCAGTAGGATGACAAAGTTTCTCCAAAGAGGGTGGGTATTCTTAACTGCCTTTTAGCGGGTAAGCTAGACAACAGTCAGGACCCGTTCCCCGGCCCAGAGGTGCAGGGAAAAACTCCAACTTACAGGCAGCACGCCAATGGGTACCAAGATACCTGGGGCCCACCACCTCTCACCAACAGCAACTCCAGACTGGGACATAGTCCAGTCTTACTCCAGGGGACTGCTTCCAGAACTTAAGCCATGCATTAAGGTGAGCCTGGCTATATCTAGACAGAAGCTCTCAACCTCATGTACTAGTTCAGGCACCTTCCCCGCAAGTGAGGTGACGTTCCATGTCCCAGTCATTTGTCCCAGTAGCCGGAGATCGGTTTGCCAGGGTCTCTGCCCTTTGCCACCACGTGGCACACACTGCACCTGACCCTTACGGCGCTCCTTGTGGGTGGTGGGTCTACAGGAGGTCAAGCCAATGTCTCCTCTTCATGCTCTGCCTGGCCAAGCCCCATGGCCTAAGGCCAGGTCAACAGGTGTTCTCCCTCAAGCACCCTCCCTGCTACCGGTTCCTGGTAATCCTGTTCCAGGCAAGGTTGTAGAGAACACAGTTTTACAACAGTTTTAACTGTTGTAATTATATATGTCAATGTCTGTGTAGGTTCTCAGTCATCGTAAAGCGGTTTCACCTCTCATCCAGTGAACTAAAGAAGCCTCTAAGATGAGAGGTGAAACATCTTCAAGAAACTTAAAGAAGCCCAGTCACTTTCTTTCCAAGTTCCTTGGAGTATATAGAGCATTAAATTCTATATG